TTTAGAACGTTAACATACGACTATATATATTTAGTTAAAGTAATATGATATGCAGATTAGGAAATTAGACAATTTTGAACAATTTTGAACAATTTTGGACAGATTATGGACACATTTTTCTATATTCAAAACCTTATCCAAAATATTTAAAATTAAAAAATGTGTCCAAAACCCAATACTGATAATATGCATTATTCATTCACTCTATTTATGATTAATATGTTTATATTTATATACTGTATAAGTTATATTATTACTATATATTACTAATTAATTATATCACATATTACATTAACCTATTTAGAAATAAGAAAAAACATTTTTATTTTTTTTTATTTTTTTTTATTTTCTTTATGTTGATATATATATTATTTTAATCTGAATATAATATAAAAATAAAAAAAATAAAGAATATTATATATATCAAATTATAATTTTTATTATTCTTTTAATTAAAAAGTTTGTGTTAGTCTTTATAAAATGTAAACGTTCTTCTTTATCTCTTCTTTCTTTAAGTTATTTACATTTTTTAATATATTAAAACCTATTAAAGGAGAATAGTTTGAAGCAAATATTATTAAATGAATGTATATGTGATAATATGATAAATGTTAAGCCTACTATGAACTCTTTGTTATTAATATCTATTTTAGCTTTTTTTAGAGTCAGTTCTTAACTCTTATATACAGTTATAGCCTATGCAAGATAGATTAAAACTTGAAACCTAAAATACGTTATCCTATTTCTGCTTTCTCAGCTACATTTAATCAGTACTATAGATACAACTTTATCCCTTCTAATATTATTATGATTAGTTTATAATATTTATTAAATTTAATAAATATAACTTTAGGAAGTGTTAATAGTCTCTGTTCTTCAAATATAATGTTATATACCATCTTTATTAAACTGTTAATTAGTTTTATATTAGTCTGTAAATTAACTGTTAATATTATATAATATCCTTTATGAGTAACACTTTTGATTTGAAACCTTTTGTAACATTAGAGTTAATTTACTTTATCTCGCTACTGCTAATATATATAACATTTATTTTAGCTATTAGTTAATTCAAGTTTCTGAGCATTTTAATATTAATTTTATTTATATATACCTATTTTATTTATATAATTATAGCATTCTAAAAATTATTATACTTAACTTTATTTATATTCTTTTTGAATTATTATGTGAATATTATCTAATCTTTGAGACTGCTATTTCCTTTACATAATATTAATAGTATATTTCTAAATTCTTATTGTTTATCTTCAAATTACCTTTGAATTATATTAAGTTCATATGCTTCTTTAAAATATTTATATACTGCTAAGCTATTTTTTGATGTCATATCATATGATATATTATTTAAGTATATAGGAATATCAAGTATTGATAAAATTTGCCTGAAATCATTAAATATAATAATAAATCATCTTCTAAAAAATTCATTTTATTTTCTAGAAATGTTTATTCTAATCTCAAATCAATTATATCTAATATTATTTGCCTTACTATACTTTTTTTTTCTATTATAAAATAAATTACTTTTTGCAACTTTTTTAAAATTTTTTTTAGTCAAATGCTATTCAGTTTATAATTTTTGTTATTCATAATCAGTATAGGGAGTATTGAGTGAATAGTCATTCTATTGATATTGAATGCTATTATACCAGCTGATGTGATTACTAGTACTAGTAACTTATTATTATTTTCTGACATTTTATAAAATCAGCGCTATATAGTTTTTATTAGATATAATTTTTCAATTTTAGTAGTATCTATGATCAATATCCTTAAAGGTTTAACCTGATATTCTGAAATTATATTATTATAATAATTTTTAATTCTTATGAATACTGATCTCTGCTTTTTATTCAAATTTTAATATTTTATCCTTAAATTGTTTATTATTTTTGATGCTTATACTATTGTGATTACTTGAAGTTTATTGTATAAAATCTTAAACATTTACTAAATTATCATTAGAATAATATTCAGCTTTAACAATTCAGTTGTGATTCTAATCCATATCTTGTAATTCTAAATTAGAGTCTCTTATATATACAAATTTTGTTCTATCATTGCTAGGTATATCTAATCATATAAAAATTCTTATTTTCTTTATTATTAATAATTTTATTTAACTTTTCATCATTACTTATATTTATTTTTTCGTCAATTGCTTAATCAAGTAAATCATTAGGATCAGAATTAATTATATCAAGATATTGGCTGTAAACTGTTAATCATGATAAGTTATTATTATTTAATTATTTAATACTTCAGTAATGAACATGAAGAAGAATTTTAATTCTGCAAAATTCTTTCTATTGATTACTATTTCACAATACTAATAGCTATAATTATACTCTTACTATATTATTTTTTCACATCTTTTTCAACTTCTTTTAATATATATGTATTTTAAATATAATCTAAATATTGAAAAAATTTTAAACTGCTCTATCTATTTCTAATATTTTCTAAAGCTATTTAAAATATATAACCTACTTTATTATTTATCATACAATTATTATTTCCTCTATTTTCTGTATATTGTAACAACCTTAGTGATTTAATATTAGGTTTAATGATATACATTTCTAAATTAAATAGTATAGAAATATGCCAATAAGAAGATGACATATTTCCTGTACAGATATGTCTCTTTTTACAATCATTACTAAACAGAAGTTTCTGAATAAAGTCAAATAAATTTTATTCTGATTGCTATTTCTTAGTATTTGATTGAATATTTTTATAAATGCTATAGATTTCAATTTGATTTTACTTGCATATTTAGCTATATATTTTAACACTATATTAATGCTAAAGACAGGTTTAATATTAATATTTGCTCACATCTTTATAACTGCAATCTGTTATGTAGATTTATATATGAATTATTTCTTTCTATCAGGAATTTTAGCTGTTTGTGATTATTCTTACTTACTTATGTATGGTTATTTATATTTATTAGATATCTAAATCTATATACTTATTATCTATTATAATTGATCTAAATGCAATATAAGGTACTACATCTTGTATGTTTTTATAATTTATTTATTAATTTTACATAATTCTGTAAATCATCAATAATCTTTCTTACTTTTTCTGATAGGGATATTATTCTAAAATAGTTACGAATATATCTAAATTAATTGTTATTATTATAAAATTAAGGTACTGTATCACTTTATTTATTATTTTCTCATTTATCGTATTTCAGTTTATTGTTAATGCATTTTGTTTCTTACTGATTCTATAGACATAAATACTTTTTTTGTGTTATCACTTAAAATAGTACTAATAATTTTTCAAATTTTATCATTTAATTAGCATATTGTTAAAAAAAATCAAATCTTTTATTGAAGAATCATATTATTATATGTAGGTTATCTACAATATTTTGTTAACATTATTTGGTTGATTGGATTTTATCTTCTTTTTGATCTTTGTTTATTATTAAATCATGTAATTGACTAATATAGATTAGCTGTACTAAAGGTAAATAAGATTATATCACGCTATTTAAAGTTAACATATTTTATAAAATTCTTCGCTATATCTCATTATTTAATCTGCTATTCTTTTATCTTTATTAGCGTTAGAACTTTAGATATTAATTATATCAATTGGTCTATCATTTAAATGCTATTTAATATATATTTGCTTTTCTTGTATTGCTCTTCATTTCATAGTTAAATTTAAAATGAAATATCACTATTTCAGTGGCGTACAAATCTTCTATCTTTATATTAAAACAGATATTTAAAATATTTTGCTAGCTTTACGTGTATTATATTGAATAAAAATTGGCTCACCTATATAAATATAGCATTAGAAACACCTTTGTTATGTATCCTACTATCTGAAATTTATTTATTAAGATTCCTTCGATTTTTGATCATAATAATAATAGGTTGTTACTTTAGATTCTATCAAGAGTCTCATTTATAACAATATCTTCTCATTACATTAGTAAGACTAATGATACAAATGTTCTTGTAATATTTTTTATCATCATTATCATTATCATCTACATTCATATCTACTAATTGTTCGTCTATGCTAACTTTACTACTTTTTGTTGTAAAATCTCAAAAAGCACTTAGATTATTTGATGATTGTTATCAAATAACGAAAATGTTAAAAAATGTGAATTCTGTGATAACTGATCTGTAAAACTTTATACATTCTGAAGAAAGTTTATAATATTTTCTCTATATTCATTTAATCTTCTTTAAATCTATAAACTATTATTTATATAAATACTTTTGCTATCAATATTGTTAATTCTTTGAATTTATCTAGGACTTCACCTGATTCATATTATTTTCTAATAAAAACCTTTTGAGTATTAACTTTTCTGTATAGCAGCGTTTATATAATCAAATATTTATTGAAAAACTTGATATTTAATTTTACATTCTGACTGAAATAAAATAAATAAATAGAATAAAAAAAGAAATAATAAATTGAAAATATAAATTGAAAAAAATTAAAGTAAAAAATAGCATTTGAACTAATTTTTCTTTAAAAAGTAATCAGAATTATGGATGCTCAAAAAACCAACATTTTTATTTATAATGTTTTTTTTTTTTTGTTTTTTTTTTTGGTTTAAAAATTTGATTTACAAATTTATGTATATACATTCTACAAAGAACAAAGTAATAATACTAAATAATTTATAAATAACAAAATAATAATAAAGCGAAGATCGTCTAAAAAATTGACGGAGGATATAATTTACAATTCGGAAATTTTGTTAAATGAAATAGTAGGAAAAAGTGCACTGTGATTTAACTTATTTCACTCATTTGTGCGTTCGTTGCAAAGTTACTTAAAGTTTCTGAACAACATTAAGGAAGTGCAAATTGTCTAGTAATGAGAATCCAACAAAAGTTTGTTGAAAAAGATAATGTTGCTTCATATGAATATTTAAAAAAGGAATGTGTTGTGAAAATGTTGAATAAATAATTTAGATAATGCTTCTAACTTTTTAAATTTGTTTTTATCCCTGACTTATCACTATACAGCCCCACAAGAAATTTGACTTTTTGACAAATTTCAGCTATTTTTTTTTTTTTAAAAAAAAAAAATTAATTCGTATTTAATACAAAAATAATGATAAATTAAAAAGATCAAAAAACTTACTAGCTAGTTTAGCAGATTCTGCTTCAAAATCGTATGTCTTTGTACCAGAATCTCGATATATCTCCAATTTAAAGTTTAACGGTGCCTTTTTATTCGTCTTACACGACAAAACATTTGTAATGTGATATGATGACTACGTGATAATAATATGCATTGTTAATAATTATTAAAGGTGATATTTATTAAATAATTCTTATATATACCGTTTTCATTGATTCAAACATAGTTCTTGTTTCTGAGGGCATGATATGAATATAATCACCATCAATTGCTAATACACGCTCATGGCGCCCAACAAACATTGGTATTTTCCGATTAACTGTGTATTTCTAAAATGCGCCGAGAGATTAATACTTGAATATTGTGATCCAAATAAGTCAATAAAATTTACCTTGTACACAGACATATATTCATTGGACGACACGTATTGTGGTTGAGGCGGTTCAGTTATTCGCCGCTTCGTTCCTTTAGGAGCTAATATATATCATATATATTAATTATATAATATTCAATTATAATATTCATTATGGATTATAAAAATAACTATGTAATATTTTAAATAACTTACTCGTAGGACTAGTTGGACTTTCAGCAGTATTAGATGATGAACTAACAGATTGTTTTGGTACGAGAGATAACTCCTGAGAATTCCCAATGCTTTCTACGGTCTTTTCAAGATTTATATAGTTATTTGTGTCGGCAATCTTGAAAGTATAATCCTTGGGATCTAATTTACGTTTACGGCAAACCATTTCAAGAACCTCGTAAAAGTGCATATCGGCTGATACATTGATGGTTGTAGTATGTGCAACCTCTGAATTAGGTGTAAGCCTAATCCTTAAAAAGATTTGATTTGTTAAGTCAATAGTAGATACAGCAGCTGATGTACTTGAGGTAACTGTCGTGGTTGAAGAAGCTGCATGAACGGTAGTTCCATTCGACTTTATAGATGGATTTGACAATGATTCTTTGGGCGGTTGTCTTGTTTTAGCGGAAACTGCTTCATTTTGCTTAACTATATTAATAATAAATGAGTAAATTCTAAATTATTTAATATGAAAATTGAAAGAATAAAGAACAGATCTCCAACCTTGATTGGGATTCGCTTTACATAACGCAAATTGATCAGTGGCGAATTTAGATATTTTCCGTGTTCTATCAGGAACTATAATAAAAGGTAATTCCAATAATGAATAAATAAGTTTTTATTCAAAATATTTAAAGATGGTAAAAATTTTTATAAATACCAGGAAAATCGTAATCTATTTCACCATCATCTTCCACTATTCTCATAGTCCATTGTAAAACATCACATAACTTTGATTCCAAAGCAGGTTCTCTTTTCTCATCCCAATACTGATATAATGTATATCCAATAACTTCTTCAACGGAAGCATCCCTTTTGACCACCACAACAAGTGGTTGTAAAGGCTTATTGCTAAACGGAAGAAATATTTTCAATGTTAATGGATTAAGGTCTCCTTTTCCAGCAAAAAAGCTGTATTCTTCTACAAATGGATTGTCCAATTTACTCTTCTTTTCTGCAATTAATGCTGTTAATGCAGAAAATGGCTTTGGTTTTGGAATAATTTTTTGTGGGTCTGGTAAAAATTTTCTTTCTTCTGCTGCAGATAATGAAGGTCTCGGAGGTGGACTAGACGGTATATCTGTACCATCAGTTGTTAACAATGACGCTTCCGAGCCCCTTCTTTCAGCGGCAAGAACTCTGTCACTTTCGGCTGATGTAGTCGGTGATAATTGTGGCGTTTGTTCAGTAGATGAAATTCCAAGTATACTATCTGGTGAAGTTTTCAATGCATCACCACCAGGTGAAAATGATTGAGCTACTAAACTTGGACGTGAAGTCGGTGGTTTTGAGGGTGAAGTTACAAACACTGGTGGGGGTGCTACAATTTGCTTGGGTAAACGTAGTTTGGTAAACAAAGGTTGTTGTTGTTTACTATAAAATTAAATATATTTGAAAATTCGTTATAATTAATTTTTTTTTTTGTTTGCAAATAAATATGTATATATTTATATTTGTAAATATTTTAAATAAATAAAACATAGATAGATAGATATATATATTAAGAGGAAGCACTGTCTATCATCGAAAGATAATCTTATAATAATCACGTTGTTAAAATAATCGGTCCAAGCTTACCTACTATCTTCGTCGTCAACATCGATATCTTCATCACTATCACCATTTTCGTTATTAAAACTTGAATCTTCTTTGGAAACTTGCGTTAAATTTGTGTCCATATTCCTATTTGAGTGGTACATTGTTTTATGCCGATCACCAGATAATGGTGAACTAGCGGCACCACCCACTATGCTCTTGCTACTAAAATAATCATTTCCCAACATACTAATGTTCGGAGAATGGCAAGCTAACATCTCTGGGTAGGAAGATGCAGCAGTCTTAATATAGTCATTTGAAAGAACGGTAGGGTTGAAAGTTATAACGCGTTCGCCAAAACGATCTCCAACACGACGGAGATAACCAATACGGAGTTGGTGGATAATATAACTTTGAATTGACTGGCCACATTAGTAAATGGTGCTTAAGAAGATAAACCGATCATTTACACAGGCGAATAATCTCACTCACTCTGGATCATTCAGCAGAGACATTGAAAAAAAGATAGTGTCAAGGCAAACTGTTTTTTACGTTTGCTCTTCACGATTGCATGGGCAATTAGACAAGTTGTTTAGGTAAGTCGAGAGCTTATTTTATTAACACCTTATGATGAAATTTGGTATTTGGTATAGTATCCCGATTAATCGGTTACCCAAGAATTCGGGTACGTTACATTTATTTCTCAGCGCAGATCATGAGATTAGATTTGACCATTTATTGATTTGACTAAAACTGGATTGGCCAAGTTTAGTCTCATAAATACGTAAGAGTAATACGAACCCAATTTTTAAGTCGACGAGATGTTCTTTGATTGATTCAGTTATTCATTGTGATCATGTGAAGAAATCTTTTTTCATTCTGGTCATTTCAAATCTTTTTGCAAAGCAAATATTCTATATCATAGTTGGCAAAACAGATGGCAACAAAAGGATTGCAATCGTTATGTAAATCTCAAAATAAAAACACTAAAGTAATGATTTCACCCCCTTGTAATATTACTTTTTTTGACATGATGTCAAATGTTTACGAATAATTACGTAACTTTAGGATGAAATTTGAATAATTAACGAAGTTTAGACGTTATACAAACGTGGAGTTGAACGCGAAAATTTTCGATTGGCTATTCAATTTTCCGTAACCCCTGGAAATCGTTACTTGGTGACGATCGATTTTGTATATATATATAATTAAAGTTGGAAAATCGTAAATTTATGACAAATCAAATTTTATCTTGAAAAGATATAACATGGTCATTGATTATACCGATATCTTTTTCAGTTTATAATAAATAATAAATAATAAGATACCATTACTGTTTTTCCTCACCGTCACAGTTTAATTTTAAACTGAAAGTTTATTAATAAATTCAATATGGCTAATATGGCTGGAATTGACGGTTATGAAGCAACACTCAAGATCCTTCTCATTGGTAACTCAAATGTTGGAAAATCGTCTTTACTTTTGCGTTTTACTGAGGACACTTTCTTGCCACAGGATGAAGTCGCAGCTACAATTGGTAAAGCAACCAGCCTCTTGGACCTTTCTTAAAACAACTATTGTAGAGTCATAAACCTGAAATTGTTTTATTTCGTTACCCTTTTGAAATTTACTTTTTTCTAATGCAATTATATTATTCTTTTTTTAAAAAAAATTATGGTTTTTTTTTTTTTCAGGAGTAGATTTTAAAGTTCAAGACATGATGTTTGAAGGAAAAAAATACAAATTAACCATCTGGGTACGTACCTTTTCACTTATGATATATCATATTTATTTTTTTATCAATTAATAAAAGCGAATTTCAAAATTTATCAACATTAACTAATAACAGGATACCGCAGGTCAAGAACGGTTTCGGACGTTAACATCCTCTTATTATCGTGGTGCTCAAGGCGTCATTCTTGGTATTTTATACTTTCATCTCCTTCCCCTCATTTTGATTTCTCGAATTCAACATATGAATGCCTTTTGTTTTTTTACTCGTGTTTATTACAACAGTTTATGATGTGAGCAATCGTGAAACGTTCGATCAGCTTGATAACTGGTTTAACGAATTGAGCACTTATTGCACAAATAAAGAGGTTGTGAAAATGATAGTTGGTAATAAAGTTGATAAAGTATGTGTTTATAATTCTTTTTTTTTTTTTTCATTTTTCAATCCTTTATAATTAATTATTAACTCATATTATGATATTCTGTTGATAATAAAGGAAGAACAACGTGTGATTTCGCGCAAGGAGGCTGAGGGATACGCACGAAAATCTCACACATTATTTCTAGAGTGTAGTGCCAAGACTAGATATGGGGTCAAAGAAGCTTTTGAAGAACTTGTTAGAAAGGTAAAGGTCACACCGAATTTTCTTTACTTTCAAGATACAAATATGATTTTAAATATAAATACATATATGTGTACCTTATAGATTCTTGAAACACCAAGTTTATGGCAGAAAAGGCCTTTACCCAGCAATAATATTAATGTGTCACGCCAAACGGAATATAAACAGGATGACGAAGCTTGTAATTGTTAAATTATTATGTTGTGGCTTAGTCCCTAACAAGGTCAGATCCGTTGGAAACAGTTGATAATCATAGGGTAAGACGGCTGAACAGATAATGCTGTTTGCCTCACCAATTTTCCAACATGGGTATGTTGAGTTTCAAGCGACAATATGATATTAATATTTGATTTCATTTGTTAAATAAGAAAGAACATTGCATATTTTTATTTGTATTTAATTTAGTAAATGTTAAATGGACTTTTTGCATTTTCCATCTGCATGTAGGCTTTTTTCTTTAGTAGCCATTTTTATTTCATTTTCTACGTAAAGTTTTTCTTTTTTTTTTTTTTTTTAGTTAGAAATAAACATTGATTAATCTGTATCGCACCTCGCGTTATTTTGAGAATAACGCATACTAAGATTATCTATGAAATAAATTGTAATAATAAGAAAACTAATAATTAATTTAATTCAACTTATAAAGGTATAATATGACAGCTACCAAAAGAAAAAAAGAAATTAGTTTTTGAATATTTGAAGATGATCATTTCATTTAGCTGATTAACATACCCCAAGAGCCCTCTTCCGCCCCATCCGCGTCTCGGCGTTAATTGTAACACCAAAACTTCCTCGGAATCAACTTCTCCGCGTTCAATTGTTACACTAATGTTTTTCTATAAAAAGGATTAAACATTACTCAATATCTCGTAGGAAAAAGAATGTTCATAATGACATTACTTACCCCTTCATGATCTGTGACCAATGTGTTTAGGGCTTGTAATTTTTGATGATTTCCGACGTGGATTGAACCAAATCGCGTAATCTTATCCCCTTTAAATAATCCCTATTTCATGATAAAAAACTTAGACCATGACTCAAATTGAAAAATAATTGTACGAAATTCAGATCTTACTAACTGCTTCTTTTGCTGGTGAATCGGGTGCTACTGCATTTACGATAGCAAAAGGTTTTGGCCGATTTAGACCTATAAAAATATAAATATATCAATCTAGTTTTCTTTTTTTATTAAAAAAATATATATATATAATCTAACTTCACCTGTTTCAACCGATTTATTTTTCGCAGCAGCTTTTTTTGCTTGATTTTCTGCATGCATTGCGTGAAGAGCTTCTTCAATCTGTTTCATTATATCTTTATGATCGTTTCGTAATGCTATTCACCAAAAAGTACGGTATCGTTAATTGTAGATACGGAAATTTTTATTTCGTCAAAATTTTACTTGCAAATTATTCTTGAACGAGCGGTTCTAACGGTAACTAGATCAATATCATCACGTGGAAATCCTGAATTATCAACTAAAGGTTCTATCATTCCGACACCTTGCTAATAGGATAATAAATCGGTTTATATGTTAATATTTTGAACGAGTTGGCAAGAAATCATTATTAAAGCAAAAAATTAATTCTGGTATATTTACTCCCTTTAATACTTGTTCTAATTCTTTCAATTCATTTTCAATGGCGTCTTTATTTTCTATTAATTGCCGAGCTGTTACTTCTGAAGAATTTGGAGTTGCCATGGTTTTAATCGTGTGAATAATTTTTTTTATATATATATAATTTTTTTTTTTTAAAAAAAAAAAAAAAAATTCGGGTTTATATACAATTTGATTTAATCAGTTTTTTTTTTAATAAAAAAGCTTTTTATTATATATTGCGCTTGGCATTATAGATAGTTTTGGCTGATATGATCGGCATGGAACTTTGCTCGAGTCCCTTAATTCTGGCCGGGAAACTTTTTTTTTTTTTTTTTTTTTTTTTTTTTTTTTATGATTTAATGATTATGTATAAAATATTATTCTATGGGATGATCAATAAGAGATTTCTATACCTAATTACCTGATAATGTTATCAAGCACGGTAATAATCCGGCTTCTTAACATTTATACCATATTCCGAAAGCGCAGCAGCAAGATCCTCCAGGTTGAGGACGGTCTTGTTACGTTGCTATAAAAAATTTTTTGTTTAATCCTAAAAATCTTCCTTTCCTTTTTGAATTAAGAAATATTTAAATAAAAAACTACCTTTCCAACATTTTTTTTACTTTGTTGACGAATTTTACAATATTGAAAGGCATCTGTTGCAATGTCGGCGACAAATTTTTGAGCGGCTAGTGACATAAGACGCATTCTTTGTAATAATTTTTTTTTTTTTTGATATAGATTAAAAAAAATTGTGTAAAAAATATATATATATATATGGCCTGATGAATATGATTTGTTGTTTTTATAAATATCAAAAATATACTAACACTCGAATATCATCACAAGAGGCTCCAGACCTGGAAAGATAATATTCCGATACGTGGTCAGGAATCTTAAAATAAAAAATAAAATGTATTAGAAAGTATTACAAAAAGTTTTGTTTCTAAACGGGTTGTTATTTATCCTTACAAGAGGTTCGAAGCTATTTAATATTGGAAGAAATTCCAATAAAGTACGATCCTTTCTTATAAATTCTTCCCCTCTTTTAGAAAGTGGTAGATCCGTTGACTCCTCCTCTTCACTAGAATCTGTGTTGTCTTCTTCGACTGATTCTGGTAAAGGAGGTTCCTCTTTTACGGGTTCTGGTGTTTCAATTTCTTTTCCTTTGCCTTTATCAATGCTATAAGTTTGATCTTCAGCATCAATATCGAATTCCATTGGCAAATTACTATCTATCGAAGACATTTTCAAAAAAAAACCAAAAAAATGATGATATACAGTTTTGTTAAATATATTAGAGTGAGAAGAGCATTTCAAAATCAAATATATGTCAAAACGTCATGCATGCATTGTATTTAATTTTAGTCAATGAATTACCCATGTTTGTGCAACTTACAATTTATTTTCTTTTTTTGATTTCGATTTTTTTTTTTGATTATAGATTTTATTTTGATAATTTATAAAAATGCGACCGAAACGAACGAAGCAATACAAACGCCTTATGGCGTTATATTCCGCTTCGTTTGGTTTTAGGGAACCTTACCAAATACTAGGTTGTTGAAGGAAATAATTTCGTTTTATAATAACTTTTTCACAAATTGCTAACATTATCTTCTTCGTCAATAAAGTTGACGGTAACTTCGTGCAAACTGCCTTACGATACAAAATGGAACTTTCTAGACAGCTCTCTATAGTAATGCTCGGAAATACAAAGCAAAGTATTTGTTTTTTTTTTTATTCGTTCGTTAAGAATAATTAACTATTTTCTTGTTTGTAAAATTTGTTAACATGATTTCTCTCAACAATAATAGTGTACACTTCTTGTACAATGGCTGAAATAAAAAAACTTGGCAAGGATGAACTTGGCACAGTTGCAGCGTTAAGTAATTTCGAGCGAAGAGGATGTATACATAGACATAACCCTGTCTCGAGTGCCGAATGTATTGCATCAATTATAGGTAAACAATTGAATGAACTTTAAAAGTTCCTCGGTTTATAAAAGATAAGGGTTATGAAAATTAAAATATTTAATAAATTTATATAGAAACCGACAATCCTCATAATTACTGTGTGGCCACACAAGATGGATCGCTTCGTGAACGATTTCGCGCCATTCCTGGCGTCCCATTATTGTATATCAATAGATCCGTATTAATTATTGAGCCACCTTCTTACGCCACATTACAAAAGGCCAAACAGGTTCGGTCAATATATTTCTTTAATATAAAAATTATAACTTGAAAATTATAACTTCTGGTTTTTGTTAAAGGTCGAGAATGCAAAAACTTACATGTCGACCGAGGAATTATCCTTTTTAACAAAAACTAATTCTGATACAGCAAAAATACAAGCTGGAGTAGAGAAGACAAAAAAGAAACGTAAAGGACCGAAACAACCTAATCCTCTGAGCTGTAAGAAGAAAAGGATAAAGGTTATACCTCAAAAGGCTAAAAATGAAATTGAACAAATAAAAGTATGAACTTTTTAAAATTTTTTATTTATTTTTAAAAAAAAAAGTAAAAAGATTATTCGTGATCTCTAATTAATCATCTGAGAGACGTACCTTTACGTGTAATCAGGAGCCAACCAACAAAAAGCGAGCGCGTGATGATGATCATACTGATTTGAATAAAGAAATAAATAATGAGGACAAAAAAACTTCAATAGATAATGATGATCGGCAGAAAAAGAAAAAGAGGAAAAGGAAGAAATCAAAAAAATCGCAAGAATCAGGGAAGGTCGCAAATACAACAGATAAGAAACAAGAAGACGACAGAATGATTCATATAACTAGGAATTATTAATATGATATTTATTTCAAACCACGCGAATTACGCGCATTTCAAGAGTAATATTTATATTTCTATCTCTATTTCTTTTAGCCGACAAAAACAATTGGATTTGTAAATTCTAACAACAATCATTCTGCAAATGAAAAAATATTTCTAGTTAATAAAGATCAATAATTAAATCTATATTAGAAATTTAAACATACCAACTAAAAAAAAATTTATGATGTCCATTGTAATACTTTTTAATTAATTGGCTTTTATTGTCACAGTTGAGTGTATTTATTTTTCATAAATGAAGTTAAATCTGCTCAACAAATGTGGAATTGCAGATAATTGAGGTCCATAACGTTGCGCGTTATCATACAATTCGAAAAGTGGCACCGCAAGTAACTTCATATTCTTAGGAACAGATAATATTTCTAATAATTTAAAGTCAAGATTAGAAGCTAAAGTTTGGAAACGCATCGAAATCACAAATCTTAGAAATCATACTCTGTTCTGGAAGGTGAACTAAAAATATCTTCTTCTGTTCTTTGGGTTTTGTAACGTGTGCTGGTATATACGGATACTAAACAAACAATTTGGAATTACAATCGAAAAAATTAGGTCCTAATAAAAAAAAAAAATAAAAAAAATTCTCTTTATAAATTAAATACCATGAAAGTTTCAAAATTTGGTCGCCACCAAACACTTAGACACTCGCCGATTTGCCAATCCTGATGACTTGAAGTATTATTGCTATTATATGTGCTAGTAACTGGAGCTAACCGCTCGTCCAATCTGGCTTGAAGTCCTTCAATCTCATCTTCTCCCGGTTTAAGATAATCACCAGGCCTAAAGAAAATAGAATAAGAATAAAGCATAATTATTTCCTTAAACATTATAATGAATTACGTGGAGACTTACAATTTAAAAAAAGAGTTGGCGATTTGTAACATCAGCACATGGGGATGATTATGTTCGTGAACCACAAGCACACCTTCTACGGTCCTTCGCATGCCAGTCATCTCGTAATCATTTTGTAATCGCTGTAAACGCGCTGCTACTGACGGATCTTCCTCTGGTTGTGCTTCTTTCGTGCCAAACGTATAGTTCACTAAAATAAGATTATGAAATATTAGCTTGATAAGAAAAGCAATGGTTATAAATTCGTGATTCATCTACCTAATGGATAGCTAGGTTGTGAAAGAAAGTATAAGAATTATTAAAAAAGTATCAATTATATATTCTAAACTAGATTGTTACTTAAAATAATAAGACGAAACCTTACAGAGTTACAGTCGGATTACTAGACATTTCTTCTGTCAAGAAAACTTTGCGATTCTGCTTTTCTACTTGATCTACTATGCACTATGACATATGTCAGAGATCCAAAATCTGCTACGTGTAACAAACAAACCTTAATTTTTAATTTAGTCCCAGCAAGTCGGAAATAACTTCCTAATTCTGCAACGTGGAAAAATTAGTTTGATTTCCGATCAAATCCTATAGCCAAATTTTCGTTCCGACTTCGACTAAAAGTTAGATTTTCTCAAAACACGCACAAAAAAAAAAAAAAAAAAAAAAAGAAAATGCCTCAACCGTTGGAAGTAGCCGAGTATGATGTTATCATACTTGGCACTGGTTTTGTCGAATCAATTCTTGCAGGGTATGCATTTTTCTTCAGTGTTTATAATTGTTGTCTTTTTTTTTTTTTTTTCCTTCTTTTTTTCATTTTTCTACGTGAACTAATATATGAGACAGAGCTTTAGCGAGAATCGGTAAATCCGTATTGCATTTGGATTCAAATGAATATTATGGTGGTAGTTGGACCTCGTTTAATTTTCAAGAATTGTTAGATTGGGCGCAGCTTTTGCAAGGTTACCCTTTCATATTATTTAGCCAACAATTTGTTAAGTCTTCATTAAATAATATTTATTAACATTTTAAATATCATTGCATTAATATAGGTCGTGTAGAAGAATCAAATGGAAACAGTCAAGAAAGTAATTTTATTAATTAAAATAACATTCAATCTGATATGCTTAATAATCGATTCAAGAATAAATTGGTAATTTGAAATATTAATGCCATTCTTAGCAGATTTTGAAGGCAAGAAAGCCTTACCAATCAACTTGTCCAAAGTTCGACATCAAGCTTATTCAACAATTGAATATGTGATATATGCCAATCTAAAACATGCTGAAGAAAATGAAGGATCCGAATTTGGGGAAGAACAAACTGATGACTCTGCAAAGACTGCACTAGATTATGACGCTTTGGCGAGATTTTTGCTAACTTCTGAAGAATATGAACAAAGTGAAGCTATTGCTAAAGTAATAACGGAACAATTCAAATCCAAAATTCTCGATCGAACACGTGAAAATGAGGAAGCTATTGTAATTGAATCTACGCGTCTTGCACATCTTCTTCACCTTCACAAGGACGATGAAAATATATCAGAAGAGACAATACGTCATGTTTCTACAAGTCTATCTAATTTTGAAAGAATTGAAACCCTGGCAACATTGCTTAAAGAATCAAGGCGATATAATTTGGATTTAGCACCAAAAATAATGCCGTGTCGTGGTGAATTAATTGAATTATTAATAAGTTCCGGTGTGGGAAGATATTTGGAATTCAAAGCTTTGGATAGGACTTACATATATTCAGATCAGGATAAATATGATAAGGTTTTATTTTATGATCAGTTGATCTTATTTTTTGCTACTCGATTGATTAATAATGAAGGATTATACGTTTTCATACCTTATAGGTCCCATGTTCAAAGGAAGATGTATTTACAAGTCAAACAGTATCTTTGGTTGATAAAAGAAAATTGATGAGATTTTTAACATTTGCTTTAGATTATACTAAATCCCCAGAAAAGTTTGAAGGTTATCTATAATCTTTTTTTTTTTTTTAATATATAAAAAACAGTTTACGTATATTGTTGAGTAATTTTTCTAAATGAAATTAATAGGTTATGAAGAAACGTCTTATGACATATTTCTAAAAGAAAAGTTCCAGATTGATGGTAAATTGTTGTCAGCAGTATTATATGCAATCGCTCTAGTTCGAACCAATGTGAATAATGGTTTGTAGATAATAACGCTTTTTATACCACGGTCAGCCTCTTCTATAATAATTAATCATTCTCGTCATGTTCATGATATGTAAAGTAAATACTAGGCAAGGTTTGACATATACTCAAAGATATTTAAAATCCCTTGGTCGTTACGGCAATGCTGCTTTTTTGGTGGCCTTATATGGCGCTGGAAATGAAATTGCTCAAGGATTCTGTAGGTAATGTTGTAAATTTCATAATTTTTTTAACGTGATTGATTTTATATCAAATGTTCGAATTGCATAATTTTTTTTTTTTTATCTATAGGATTTCAGCTGTATTCGGTGGAATATACATGTTAAATCATTCCGTAAGACACCTTTTAATTGACAAGAGTTCAAATAATTTCACTGGACTTATCGATGCGAATGGTCAACAACTTTCTTCCACATTCTTAGTTACAGCTATTGATTACATACCCGAAAATATATTGCAGGAACATAAAGAGTGGTACGTTATAAATATATTATGCTTAATTCATCATCAAATCATTTTAAGGGATTAATCGACAAGTATTGTAGTGATCAAACCTCTCGTGCCATAGTGATCATAGATCAATATATTCACGAGGAAGGCGATGCTACACTCACCATATTTCCACCAGATTCTGTGGGTAATGAATATCCGATTAGTGTTCTCCAATTTTCAGCTGGGACACAAACTTGCCCTGAAGATAAATGTTAGTTAATTACAATTAGAAAGTATTTAATTATAATTTCGAATAATTTTATTAAATCAATCTATTGTTTCATTTATAGATGTTTTATATATGTCCACAAAAGCTTATGGCGATAGCGCTAAAGCAGATTTACACAATGCATTGGAGAAATTAGTTAATCTTTCAAATAATGGTAAACAAAATTAACCACTTAAAAACAAAACTTGGAAAACAAATCATTATCTTTACTTGTATTTTATAATTGATTTTCATTTCCTTTTTAGATGCTTCATTATCATCTTGCAAACCAAATCCTTTGTTTGCGTTATTTTATCGACATAATTATCGGGATATTACTTCACTTTCATCATCACTGCCAAACAACATCATTGTTACTAGTGATCCTGATTCGTCATTGGATTTCGAAGCAGCAACAATTCAAGCAAAGCAACTTTTTGAAAAGATGTGTCCAAATGATGAATTTTTACCTGCTGGTCCAGATCCTGACGAAGAAGATTTCAATATAGATTAAATGTTAGTTATAAGGGTTCAAGATTTATTCTTTTGCCCAATTTTTTTCGATGGTACTTAATAAACTTTATGTTTCGATTCATTTATTCAACATTATCTATACGTTAGTTTAATACCTATTGTATTTTTATTTATTCTAAACTAGTAATTTATAATCAGTCAAAGTCAAATCAAAGATAAGATACATGTTATTTATTGTTTATTTTCATAAATGTTTAATACTAAAGTAAATATTGTACAACTAAAAAATATATTACATAAGATTGAAATAATTGCTAACATAACAACATACGAATGTAAACTAAAACATTTGTATGGCTTTTGATATAACATAAAATAAAAAAAATATGATGTTTAATGTTTATTCCACATTTTCATTTGAAATATTTACTTCTTGTTGTGAAGGTTGAGATGAAGTTATTTGTGATTGAGCTGAATACACGGGCACAGGTGGAATTTTTGGAAAATTCCTACGATTAACCAACAAACTTTTCAAACTACGAATTTCGCTTCTAACTTGCGAAACAGGTGAATCACGGTCATTTGGTGGTGACCGAGAATATGAATAAACATTTGCCGAAAGATACGCCGCTAAAGATGACAACGAAAGTTGTAGATCTGATATCGCATCACATTTTGATAAGGTTTGTTGATGGATACTTAACCTTTCAGTTAATCCAGATAAATCAGTAGCAAGAGGAGCGAGTAAAGCAGGTGGTGTAGAAATTTCATCTATATCATATGGTGTAGGTGATTCATCATCATCATCAGTAAAATTTCTTCGCTCAACAGGTTTACTACGCGACGTTGACTTATTTAAAGATAAAAATGTCGAAAGAGTTTCATTAAACCTTCTAAAAAGATTAACTTGATGAGAATATAATTGTTGCTTTGCAAAAATAATAGCCGTAACTGCGGGACCAAGAAATGTCTAATTAAATGTAGAATTAGTATTTAAATTCGTAAATAATAAATATAAAAAAAAAAAAAAAAGAACTACAAATACCTTGATCATTGCGATCATTGCGGCACTAAAAGCACCTGTAATCAGTAGAATAAATATTAGGCGCTTCCATAATGGAGTCCTTGCCACAGCCATTTGATATGTGCGTGGTGGAACAGGTGGAGCTAATGTTTCCTATGATATTTAAAGACATAGATTCTCTGTTTTACGAAATTGAACGAAAAAATTTAAATTTAATTAGCAACTACTTACCTCCTTATTTACCCTATCTTTGGCAATATCAATTTCTGCTTGCGTCAAACCTTTACTTAACAAAAATTTGAACTTTTTGTCCTCATCAGAATTACGTACTATTGGGCTAGATAAGAATGTGACTGCTTGTAGTATCATATCTTCTCTTGGTTCAAACTGTTGTGTAGTATTGGTATTAGCAACAATAGCACTACCTCCCTCATTCTCATTTGGTATTCTTAACCTTGCTTCTGCGGCTCGTTTACGAGCTTCCTTCTGTTTTTCAATTAGCTCTCTCCTTTTACTTTCCCTTTGCTCCGGTGTCAATTTTTGTTGACCCAATATTTCACGAACTTTATCGTTACTATTTGCTTCTAAGTTAGGACCTGCGCTTCTTTCAGAATCCTTATTCTGCGCAGTTCCTACGTTTATCGCAGCTTCTTTACTACTTTCATTTTCATTAGGAGAGTTATTCGCGTTCTGATGGTCAATTTCTTTCATTACAAAAAGTAATAAAAAGACGTTGAGGATGTTTTGAACGTGTAAATTTAGTGGATCATTATATTGGACGAACTGATCATCAACATTCTATTTTTACATTTAGCTATGCCCTTCTAAAATTATTTATTTATAATCTGAAAAGTTTATCATTAACATTAACAATCTTATTAAAAATTTACTTTTAAATATAATATAATATTATGAGGAAATAGAAATCTAAAGCAATCTTAATTAAAAAAAATTATTTTAGATATTATTTTTTGGTTTTAAGAAGTGTGATTATATAAGTAGTTAACTATATTTATTTTATCAAAACTTTGTATTGATTCAGTTATTGAGTAAGCTTAGATATCTAAAGATATTGTCTAAATATATTTGAACAATTGTTTCAATTTTATAATAATATTTAATCAGATTTATTAAAGTAATTTATTTATTATTTATTAATTCAATTTGAATGGTCATTTTTACTTTATAAAACTTTAGAAATAATATTATTTAATAATAAAAAAAGAAATTATTATAAGATAATAAAATACAAAATCAATTTTTTATTTTGAAAGATCCTATAAAAATAAATTATATACAGTTGTCACTGGATATAATGAACCAGCTATTCCAGAAAATATAGTTCAATATAGAATGAATTCATTATATTGTCATCAGGTTCATTTTCAGTTATCTTAATGTCTAATTCAAAAGACAAAAGTTTAGAAATTGATAATTCAATTACAAGTTTTTATAGTATCTTATCTTCTTTAAAATACGAGGAATATCAACTAAGCCTAAACACTTCAGCCATCTTTAATCAAATAACTATTGGTAAATTAGAAACTATAACTATCTATTTCTGTTAAAAATCTTATCAATATTTCTAAAATAAATGAATTAAAGAAAGTTACTTTCAAAATTAACTGAAAAATATTTTTAATCCTTTTCAATCTTATAATCATTCAAGTATGAATCCCTTATTAAGTATAAATACTAGATGTTTTAATCTCTCTTCTGAATTTGAAACTGGAGAAAATATAGCTTAACAAAGTAACAATCAATTATATCAGTAAGGATCTAATATATCTAATATAGCTAATATAAGAAATATAAGATTAGAATTGTTTTAACCTAATCTGTTTCTACTCAACCTGCATTTAACATAAATACATTTAATACCAATGCTAACTATAATAACTTTTAGATAACGTAATTACTTCAATAAATAATTATGACATTATAAGCTATAAATGCTAATTTAATAGAAAATGTAATTCAGACAAATAGAGCAGAACTAAATCTAGTTAAATCCAATTATTTTCATAGAATTGATAATAAAAACCCTTATGAATAACTTGCTTCTTTTGAACAAGCTGCTATAGCCAATCAATGAAGTAATAATAGAAAAATAGCTATTACTATAGGATATTTAAGAGATGTTATTACTAAATAGTATAATAAAAATTAACTTAACTTTTAAAATTGAAATCTACAAGGAAGTTAGTATAATTGCATTAACCATTTCTTAAATTACTTTATTAATGTTACTATGAAAAATAAATGAATAACAGCCTTAAAACTAATTTGTCAGCAACTAAAATAAAGTGTAGTTAATTATATTTAGAAATACAAAATATTAGTTCAACAAGTTGACTTACAGAAGAATTTTAATAATAATATATCATTAGCAAATTTATCAGAAAACTAATCCTACATATTATGACGATAGTAGTAAAATATAATTTAAATAATTTAAATGCAGTTATAACTAAAGTAAAAAAAATTAAAATAGGTTTTATTATCACACAACCTGTTTAATAACAACAGATCATGACAAATTAAATAGAATTATTACAATAACAAGTTTCTCAACTAACTGTGAACTTGGCTAATATACAGGTTTAATAAACAAATTGATATTTAACTGAAATAATCAAAATTAAAATTAAAAAAAATTATTGTAATAATAATTAAAGAATATTTGAATATTAGAATTATAAAGAAAAAGAACATATAGGATCTTTGTAATAGAAAAGAAGAAAAAAGCTAGAAAAATAATAATTGAATTAATGCTAAATCTGAATATATTTTATCTAAAAATCATATTTAATATATAAAAATAAAATTAATTTTTTCTAACTATTTCCTCTTTTTTATTGTAAAGATCCTATATGGCTAGATATTATTAATCAGAAATAAAAACTAAAACTTAATTACAAACTCAAGCTTAATCTTAATCTAACTTTCAATCTTATAATAATAATCAAAATAACAATAGCTCTTAATAAAGAAATATCAATTTAATAAAAATTGAAGAGACTGAAGCTGAACAAAAAATCTATATAGTTACTAGATTAATTTTACTATAAATTACTCAAATTATATTATTACAATTGGAATTCAGCTAGAAATAGCAAAATAAAATTCTATCATAATCTTTAAAGCAGAAACTAAATATTTATTTCATATTAATAATATTTTATTATGAATGACTTTATAGAATAATTAAAGATCTTAAAAGTTTAGATGCTAATATTACTTTTAGATAACTATTAAAAAATTCTTTTTACCTTCGAGAATTAAAAAATGAGATAAAGAAGATTAAAAAAAATGGAGATTAGAATAAATATTACACAAATTTATTTGTAATTTTTATACAAGTATCAATATTATTAATAAAAGAATCAATTTAAATCTATATAAATTTACTTTTCCTTTCAATATTATTCCTTATCTAAAATTTATTATAATATCCTATACTAATATATTATTAAATTTATTATTATGAGTTTGATTAATATATCTTAAATTCTAAAACATAATAAATTATCAAATTAATTTAAGTATAATGGATACCTATAGGACTTAAAAAAAATCCTAAGATCAGAAATTCCAATGGTTAGAATTAACTATTATAATCTTTTGACTTAGATGTTAAGATAACTAAAAATGAACTCAATAACAATATATAGTATTAATAATTTAGATTAAATATGTAACATCAGCTAGAATTATAATTTATGTAACATAAATTTTCTTTTTTTGAAATTTTTTAATAGTATTTAAACAAATCAAAATTCTTTATAGAATTACTTTATTAAAGTCAGAACTAAATATTTACTTATATAAAACTATTTTAACTATTTTATTTATTATCAAACAATAATTTTAGCCAATATTATAAATCTAACCTGAATTACCATTTAATCACATGATTATTCAGTATATAAAATATATGATTAATATAAATAGACTTATTAAATTGAATTTAAATGTAATATATAGTATTTTATTATAAAAGTTCATTATATCTATTAAAATTAATTATAAAATTTTATTCTAAAAATTTAATATAATATAACGAGTTTTTAATATAAACAGGTTCAATATAATTAGTGACGACTATAATACAAATTAATATTTTAATTTTAAGTTAGAATAATAAGATAATTTAAAAATAAGTAAAATTAATATTTTATAAAAGTATTTATTTATCATAATTTTAATAAAAAAAGTTTTTAAATATATTTTTTTTTTAAAATAAAAAAATTAAAAAATATAAAAATTTTACATAATGATAATTATATAGTTATTTTTTTTTATATTTTATAATGAAATAAATATATTTAAATAATCAAAAATTATATTATTTAAAATTTAAGAAATTTTTATAAAGAATTTGCTAGAATTTTAAATTTAATTTGATAGGTTAGATGACCCAATAAATTGATTTAAAAAGTTGAAGTTAGGTTAAATAGGATATCTAACTTGAATTATTTAATTAAAAATTTAAATTTTAATATCTCTATTAATATTAATCTATTTGAAATAAAATAACTATCATTCAAATCTTTATATAAAGACAAATCTAATAAGCTATAATATATTACTCATCAATTACTAGATATTAAAATATCTCAAAAATTATTTTTTTTTGATCTAATACTTATTAGATTAGGTAGAATTCTAACTTATTTTAACTTATTTAGAGTTTTAGAATTTGTAAATGCTTTTGTATTTTGTAAAATATTAAATTCAAAGCAATTAGTAAAAAATAAAAATAAAAATTTTATCTAGAATTATTTTTTTAAATTATTATAAATATTAGTTAAAATATCTTGACTAATTAAAAAATTTAGCTAATGTCTTAAGTAAGCTATTATTAAAAAAATTAATAATATTGATATTGATAATTTATCCTTTTTCCTCTAAATTTTTTATAATAAAAATCTAAAAAAATTTCTCAAAATCTATTTTCATAACCTTTAACTTTTAGAATTAAAATTTTTAAAATTTTCACAAAATATAATAAAATAAAGATAAAGCATATATACAATAAAATTTAAATATAATAAACTATCTGTTTCAATAAAAATATCTGTTATATTAAGTATTCTAGTATAGTAAAAAATTTTGATATATCAGATTTTATATAAAATCATATACTATAAAATTTAAATTTATTTGAAAAAAATTTTTACCAAAAATTTTATATATTAAAAATAACTAATATTAAAAAAAAATCATATATTCTATCTATTTTTACTTTTTTTTCTTATCAGAAATAATTTTTTTTCAAATTATTCAAATTTTGCATATTTTTTGCTAATTAAATATCAAAAAGTTTTTAATTATAATATTTTCACAAAGTTTTTTTTTATACTAAATATTAAAAGTTTTCTTTTTTTATTTTGAAAATTATATTATCAAATTAATTTCTACTAACTTTTCATCTTTGTATTAAGTAAAAATAATTTATAAAAAAAATTATCAGTAATATAACCAGATCTCTCTAAACATACTCTTTATAACTACACATTCTCTTTAAATACATATACAGTCAACTCTTGTTATAATGAACTCTTGTTATAACGAATTTTTTGAACAAATATAATAAAAATACTCTTGTTATAGCGAATTGGCCAATCAAATCTCTTAAAATCTTCACTATAGCCTTATAGCGAAGTTGAGGTCTAGGACATAGAATTCATTATAACAAGAGTTGACTA